GCCACCGCCGACCTGCTGACCGGCTCTCAGGCGCTGCCTGTGACCCTCAGCCTCATGCGGCGCGGCACCGCCAAGACCGTGCAGGTGACTAGCACGCACTGGGGTCCTTGTACACGCCTGTCTTCAAGACACCACATGCGCCCCGCTGCCGCCGCCGCCAACCCTCAGCCGCCTCCCCTGCCGCTGGAAAGCAGCCACATGGAAATTGATCACACGACGTTCAGGCACCAAAGCCCAATGCCATGATGGCTCCAGAAGCGGATGATTGCGGGACGCTGAGACACTCCTAATCCCATTCATAATCCTAATTCTAATTCTTCTTCCAATGCAGGTGGCGGGGCTGGACGTGGGGTGGCACTCCAGGATCGACCTGGCTGAGAACCCCAAGACACACAGGCTGGAGGTGCGCGTTTGTTCATGATTCGTGGCGGGGTGTGGTGTTGTTGCGTGTTGGTTGGGCGTGTGTGTGTGTGTGTGTGTGTGTGTAAGTGCCCTCGTGAGCGTGCGCACGTGTGGGTGGGTGTGCGCGCGGGTTCGAGTGTGCTTGTGTGTGTGTGGGGGGGGGAGGGGAGTTGGAGGAGGGCAGCGGAGAAACGGCGTTGCCAAGCAGCCTGTGCTGACCCAGTGTTCTGGCCAACTGAACTGCGGTGCCCTGTCTCATCACCCCCCAACCACCGCCATTCGTGCCGGGCACACGCGCGCGCGCGCGCGCACGCTTCGCAAATCCAACCTGTTCCGGCTTGGTCTAAAACTGTCACCGCCCTCGGGTGGCAGGTGACGCGCGAGCTGATGCCGGGGACGTACCCCTTCAAGTTCATCATCGATGACGTGTGGGGCGCCAGCATGGACTACCCCACGATGACGGTGCGCGCTTGCATGCGTGCGCCTGCCCGTGCCGGCGCGCTCGCGCGCGTGCGCGCGCGCGTGCCTTGTCAGGGCAGTTGTCCACGCCACAGCCCTCGACGGCGTCAGGCCCCGCGCAGCACGACATGCCTGTCAGTCCCCCCCAAGCCTGCCATCGCGCCCGCCCGCGCGCGCGGCGCCCCCGGCGCCCTCTGCGCGCCGTCCCACACGTGAGCCGGCGCCTTGCCCCTCCCTCACCCGAGTTACCCACTCAACCCCCGGGACCCCTAAACAAACGACTTGCCCCCCCCCCCCAAATAATGGGCCTCGAAACCCCCCAAATCCCCCAGGACGGCGCCAACACCAACAACATTGTCACGGTCCTGCCCCGCGACGCGTCCGGCCAGGCCGCGCGCGACCGCATCCTGTCGCCAAACGGCACCATCACCGCTGAGGAGCGCGACGACCTCGCCGCGCTGCTCTGCCCCTGGGCCAGCCACGACAGGGCGCTGCACCGGCCGCGGGCCGCGGGGGCCGGCTCGGAGGACTCGGACTGAGGCCGAAACGCCGGCCGCGCCCGCCGCGGCCGCCGAGCCGGCCCGCGGCGGCGCCTTGTTTGAGGCCGCGCCGGCCTCGCGCTCGTGGCCGCCACTGGCGTGCCGCTGGGGGGCAAGGGCGTGCGCCCTGGACCCGGCGAAGGATTCACCCAGGGACCGCCGGGCGTCGCGCGGCTGAACGCGCACCGATCCTGCCGCTGCCATCCCCGACGGGCGGCGCAAGGCCGGGCGTCCGCGGCCGATACTTTGAAACCCCCTTTGGCATGCAAGCTTCAGGGAAGCCCCCCTCGCGACGGTCGTCGGGGCGCATGCATGGAGGGTGCCGCGCTCTTGCTGGCTCCACCATTGCCGTCGCTACGCCGCCCCTACCCATGCGGGCCGCGTGCGCGTGCGGCTGCCGCGCTGTTCTTGCAGATGCTGGTGTGATTATTTGCTTCCGCTCTCCTGATTGTCAGCCACCCCATTCGCGCGCAGGGCCGCTGCCTGCCGCGCCTGCTTTTGCAACCACCAATTATGTGCTTTGCACTTCCCCCAGCTGCGCATTGTTACTCAGTTGTAACATCAAGTTATGTGTCGATCAGGCAGCCGTCTTTCAGAGCAGTGAGCTTGCATGGTGTAACTAGCCCGTCGGTGCCAGCAGGCTTGCGGGGCCCCTCAGACCGGCGTTGCCTGTTCCACGGCCGCGCACCCGTGCCGAGACACCAGCACACGACGGGCCCTAGTGCGTGAGTAGCGGACCTCTCACAGGCTTAGCCGCGCTGCAATGTGTTGCAAAAACTCTGTTCAGACGATGCACGCGTCTCGCTTTGCCCTTGTCGCTGAACATGCTTGCATTCTGAACGCCGCTGCTGGCGGCAGCGCTTGCCAGCCGCCCATACATCGTGCCGCCCTGTAAAGGATGGCTTTGAGCGCGGAAGTCTGCAGGTTGCTGTAACGATTTCAATCCTTCCCCTCCCCTGCCCCTGCCCTCCCCTCCCCTCCTCATCCTTTCCCTTCCCTTCAACTTCAATTCAATCTAAATCCTCATCCTGATCTTGCGAAGAAAACCAAGCATCAAGCATCTCCACCCATTGCGTGTGTTGCGCCGCCTCGCACTGCTCCCTGTGCCCCATGCGCACCCAGTGGCGGCGGCAGCACGCGTCCCCGCAGTACATCACCCCCGTGACGCGGCCGCAGCCGGCGCAGCGCCGCAGCTGGGCGCCGTCCGCGGGCGTCCGGCCGCAAGCGGCGCAGACCCTCCGGTGGCGCCCGTCGTGGTGGTCCTGCTGGGTATGCAAATCGCACGGTTTTGTTGAGGCTTTTGTATCAAAGGTAGCCGGCTTGTAAGTCAGTATTGGTTCAACACCAATGCTATGTAATTCAAGCAGGGAGTAGCCCACGCACGCGCCCGAACCCGTGGCTGCCATCCCCACGCACCTGCTGCACTCGTTCCCCGGCTGTGCGGGGTCCAGCCGCCACGCGTTGTGGAAGGACATCGCCAGTCGTTGAGAGTGCAGTTGGGGACGCGTAGCAACAACCCTTGCTGCCTGGGGCGGCCGCGGTCGGGGCGTCGGCGGCGCCTAACTCCATTTCAGCACCGCCCTTGGCCAGCTCAGCGTCGTCCCCCTTCAGCTCAGCACCCGCTTTCTGGCGCGCAGCAACGCGCCGCGCCAGCTCTGGCGCTGCAGACGCGATTTTTGAGAGCGCTCGTGCTGCGTTGCCGCCGGCGTCGCCCTCGGTTTCAGCCGCGGCGGCCAGGGTGGCGAGCGCTCCGTCCTGGTCAGCGACACGCCGCGCCAGGTCAGCGCCCGCCAGCGCGAAGCAGTAGAGCGCGAGGCACGCGCCGCACGCAGGCTCGCCCCCGCGCCGTGCAGACGCCAAGAGGGTGCTTAGCACGCCTGGTGTGTTCGCAAAACGCCACGCCAGGCCAGCGCTTGAGAGGATCATGGTTGTCAAGGCCCCGCCCAAGTTTGTGGCGCAGTCGCCGCCACGCCTCAGCGCATCGGACATTGCCTCCATCACGGCGGCGTCGGACCCCAGGCGCCCTGCCAAGCCGGCGCGTTTGACACACATCTCTGAAAGCACAAGCGCCGCATCTATGCCGGCGGGCCCGCCGCCCCGCACCGCCGCAGCAAGCGCCCCCAGTGCCCCGTCCTGGTCAGCGATGCGCTGCGCCAGGTCAGCGCCAGCGCTGGCGATCCCGATGAGGGCCCTGGCCGCAAAGCAGGGCTCGTCGCTTCCGCCGCTTGACAAGACGGCGATCAAGCCGCCCAACACGCCTTTGGTGCCTGCCACGAACCGCGCGTCGTCGGCGCTCATGGTGCACAGTTTCGCTATAGCACGCGCCGCGTCCGAGCGGGCGTCGCAGCGGCCGGCACGCAGCGCCGCGCCAAGCCCGCGCAGCGCGCCTCGCGTATGGGCCACGAGTCGCGCTAGGCCCTCGCCGCCCAGCCATATCATGCAACAAAGCGCCCGCGCCGCGCATAGGGGCGCCGCCGCGGCGGCGGCGCCGCCTTCGGTGCCACCGCGGCCGCAGCCCTCTTGCCCGGCGACGGCGGCCAGCGTGCGAAGCGCGCCGGATCCCGAGGCCACGCATCGCACCGAGTTGCCGCCTCTCGCGCACATCTCAAGCAGCGCCGCGGCCGCGTGCTCTGCACCATAGCCCTCCAGCGCCACGACAAGAGCGCCAACGGCGGCGCTTTGCAACTCTGGGGAGGCCCCGGAGCTGCCCCCCACCGTGCCGAGCGCAGCGACCAGCACCGCGACCGCGTCGCGGCCGGCGGCACTGTCGCAGCCACCGCGCGATACCACCTTGGCGGCGCGCCGGACGGCGTCGCTCTCAAGCACCTTCCTGGAGGACTTCAGGGCCTGGTTTTTGGCGCGAGCCGCGGCGAGCGCCGCCAATGCCGCCCCAACCCCGCCTTGGCCGTCGCCCTCGCCCTGGCTATCATGCCCGCAGCTGACGCGTCGCCCCAGCGCGCTGATCGCTATGCGCATGGCTGACGAGTCCGGGTCCCTGCCGAGTGAGTGAGACTTGAAGAATGCAGTGGCACCCGGAAGTGCGGCGGCGCGGGTTCTGGTGGGTTGCGCGTCCTGCGGTTGCCAGGCAGGAGGGGGGATGCGTAACGGGTTGTTGGGAGTGGGGCGGTGCCATGTGTGCCGCCACGTTACGCTGTGGTGTGGCCTGCCTCAAGTATCAGGCAGCATGGGGTGATCCCATGTGACTGAAAACATGCACGCAGCTAGATGGCTTCAGAGAGGAAGGAAGTGCAGACATTGGGCGCGTGCTTTCGGCCAGCGCTAGTGCATGATGCGGCAGTCCGCATCTGCACATGGAGGGAGCTGATTGCCTGATCTGGGAGTGATTGAAGGTCCACTTGCGCAGATGTGCGTATCATTATTGCTGGCGACGGACGGAGGCCCGCGAGAACCGAGAAGTGAGGTCAAACCACGCAGTTCTGAGAAAGGCGCGGCAAACACTGACGTCGAGCGAAGGTTGTGTTGTTTATACAACTCTCCATATTACGGTAGCTTGCCAACGTGCTGTAAGCATAACTGTAAACTGCAGTTCAGACCGAAGATTATGTTTGATCTGACTCTGACTCTGACTGATGAGCAGTTGCTGATTTTCGGCGGGGGGGGGGGGCTGTCAGTCAGAGCCGTCTTCGTCTTCGTCTCCGTCCAGGTCGGCTTTCCCCAGTCTGCCCATAAGCCGCTTCGCTACTTACTCCAACCCTTGACATAAGCTGGTCGTATTGGTCATGTTACATGGGCTGTGTTCTCTGAGGGCGAACACAGGCAGGTCGTTGTCAATACAAAGAGGTGGCAAAAACGACCGAAGCCAAGCCAAATGCATGTTCACGCTCGGGACGGGCGGCCCGCGAGCATGCTTGATACAGGCCTCCTAGCTCCAAAACCGCCGACGCGCGGCGCACGCGCGGCCTCATCCCGCCTGGGCCTGGTAGGGGTAGCCAACAGGCGCGACGGGCGCCTGGAAAGCACAATCCCTGCTGCGCGCGCGCGGCGCGGCGGCAAAGACGCCGCCCTCCCGCGGCCCGGCGCGGCCACGCCCCACCCCGCCCTGCCGCTCGCCGCCGCGCCGCCGCGGCGCGGCGGCGCGGCGGAGCGCCCCGTTTCTGCGCCTACTCCTGCTGCTGCTCCGCCAGGCGGGCGTTCTTGGTGTCCAGATCGGGCACCTCGCCCGTGACGCGGCGGTAGATGTCCAGCACGTCCTCCACCGTGGTCTCAAAGTGGGTGGTGGGGTCGTAGCCGGAGCTGATGAACGCCTTGTCCCTGGTTAGAAAAGGGGGATGGGGCAGGGTGAGGTGGGGTGGGGGGGCGGGGT